CTAGAGTTAGACTAAAAAATGATAAACTCCTTACAAAAAACAAGAAAAAAAAGAGTATGACAAAATAAAAGTGAAACTACTAAAGTTATATGTTATGATTTGAACATCAAAATCATTAAAAAACAATATATTAGTCAGCTAATGAAAGAAGAACTTATAAAACTCAACTAAAGAAATAAAGAAAGGCCTGATGAAATATTGATCTTTTATATAGATAGTTCATTAAAAAGAGTATCAGAAAAAGAAGCTTCAACAGTAGACCAAATAGGATCAAGCTGGATGCAACTAGATAAAAAAGAAGAGAAAATACTAAGTGTAAACTATTTTGGTACACAAAATTGGTCATCATTAACAAAACCAAAACTCTTAGTTATTTGGTTTATTGTATTTACAGTACTAGAACAGAGAAAATTAAAGATTTGTACAGATAGTGCAGCAGCAATTGCAGGCCTAAAAAATAGAAAAGAAAACCAATCCATTAACCAATGACTAAAAAAGAATAATTACAATTTATTAGAGAATATTAAAACATTATAGAGTTAAAAAATTTAAGAATAGATTTAGTTAAAGTTAAATGTCATAGTGATAATGAATGGAATAATAGAACAAATATGTGGCCAAAAGAAGATGCCAAAATAGATAATTTAGATAGAATAGTAGAGAAAACTTCTCAAGGAACTAGCATCTCAATTTATTGAAAAAAAGAAATTATAGAAGATCTAATAAGAAAGTTTATTAAGGAAATCTTAGATTTTCAAACAGAAACTGAATAGGATTTTTCATCAGTGATTAAAAAAATAGAGCCAGATGATAAGAAGAAAGTATTTAATTGAACATACTTATGAAAAAAAATTAAAGACCAAAGCAGAAGCAGATATACAAGTCAAAAAAAGAATACACAAATAGGAACTCTAATTAAATGTCTTAATAATAAATTACTATTACTAAAACCTTTAAGACAACAAAAACAAACTTCTACAAAAGTCCTTTTTGTATACTTTATAATAAAGAAGAGAAAAAAAACTTAGAACATTTAATATTATGCAAGTGTTATGAGAATAACTGAAAAAAAATAGAAGATCTATTGATTAATCTTGTATAGATTAAAATCTCAAATGAAATACAAATTATCATAAACAAAAGACAACTTAAAGAAAATTTTTGATGAGTAAACAAGTAAAAAAAAGAAGAAACAAGAATAAGAATAATCAAATATCTAGTCCAAGAAAAGACAATTAAACAAATATAAACTTTATTCAAGTCGCTTAAGGAAACAAAAGATTTTTTAGACATAGTAACCAACATAGCATGGAATAAGTTTTACAAAAACATATGGAAAAAAAGGTGTAAGACTATTATTGAATAGGAAAAGTTAATAAACATCAATTGGTCATTAAAGTAAAGAAAATCAGAAAGAAATATGAAATTACCTAGTAAAGAGATGTATAGTCAAATAGTAAATCCAATTAGAATAGAAAGAGACTAAACTGCTAAAGAGATTAAGGAGTTAAAAGATGTAGAAAATACTAAAATAAAGAAAACATAGTTTAGTTTAATTAAAAATTACATAAAAAGTAAAATAAGACCATTTTCATATGATCTTTTAGGCTTATCTGGTATAACCTTCAGATCTGGGTTATTATCCCAACCAGTGTGACAGACCACCTCTGAGTACTTATTGAAACAGCTGAAAGATATCGAACCAGTAAATAGGTCAAAGTATATACAAATTTATAAATACAAATCTTAATAAAGATCAACAACAAGGCTGCCAAAGAGGAAAAAAAAATTGACTTTTTAATAATTATATATTGTTAGGTATACTATAATAAGCTTTAATGAAGTAAAAAAAATTAAAATTAATGAAAGTAGAAAATGTAATACTATATTCTTAATAATTATAATAGTAAAAAGTAATGTATATGACCTATTACATTTTATAAACAAGTAATATATTAATTATTTAAAGTTTTGTTTTATCAAATTGGTTTTTATCAAAAAAGAAGTACTTTGATTTAATTGAAATAAATCAAGTTTCAGTAAAATAAAACCTAAGTTCAAAAAAATTCCTATTGTGAACCAAAAAAACATTAATTCAATTTGTCAGCAAATCACAATGTTATAATATCATGTGATTGCTGAAATCGACTTGGGATCGACTTGAAAGATGCTCGATTAAAAGTTGACTCAGAGTCGACTAATTGGAGTCAATTAACAGTTCTAATGTCATATACAGAAGTTCGTCTGATTGTCTAATAAATTCAATTTAATTTTATATTATTTATACAGTTTAGAGTACTTTTTTTTTAAAAAAAAAAACTAACCATAATAAATAAAAAAAAACTATATAGAAGGTTCCATTAGAGCTGTAGGACTCCATAGTCAAAAATAAGATCTAATTCTCGTCTGTTTAAAAAAATAACTTAGTAATAAGTTGATTTTATGGGTTTTGAGAAGTTATTACTATACTAACTTTTTAAAACGGACGAGAATTAAATCTTATTTTTGGCTATGAAATCCTACAGCTCTAATGAAACCTTCTATATGGTTTTTTTTCGCTTTATTATGGTTGGTTTTCGTTTTTTTAAAAAGTACTCTAAACTGCATAAATAATATAAAATTCAATTGAATTTATTAGCCAATCAGACAAACTTCTGCCTATGAGTTCTAATGGCAACGGTTGGTCAGCCGTTTTGTAGCCGTTTGCTGTATCTAGTGATCCAATTTGGATCATTGGATCACGAGATAACCGCGGCTTAGCTGGTCAGCTATGCAGAAAATGACCATCCATAATTGCATTTATTACAGCACATGGCCTTAAACATATTACGATCTACCACTACATCACAACTAGGGATGGGTTCGGTCACGAACGGTCATAATCATTCATAGTCAATTTGCTAAATACTGAGATGTTTTTTTACTTTTGAGCTTCTAATCAAAGTTGTTCAGAATTAAATTCTAATCATCCCATATTATATGTGAAAGAACGATACCTTCTCTGGAACTCGGAATTTCGAAATGTGTTATTGCCATGACCGGTTATTGACCGTCGCTAATAACCGGTCATGACGTTACAAATTTCGAAATTCCGAGTTCCAGAGAAGGTATCGTTCTTTCCACACATAATATGGGATGATTAGAATTTAATTCTGAACAACTTTAATTAAAAGCTCAAAAGTAAAAAAACATCTCAGTATTTAGCAAATTGACTATGAATGATTATGACCTTTCGTGACCGAACCCATCCCTAATCACAACTCATGACAATACACACATTGTAGTATTACAGCTGTAACGTAATTGGGGTAGCACTGCAACAAAAATGCACTTCTAGTGCAAATTTCTCTGATTGATTAATACACCACCTGCCTGGCACATATTCAAGTGGTGCTTATTTATTGTGGCTTGGTAATATATGTATTGATTTGGGATATTTAGACTTTTATTTAAATCACTTAATATATTATTCTTTAAATTTAACTTCTTCGTCCACAAACTACATATATTATATTTGTAAATAAAGTATTTTAGTTCATATCTGATAATGGTATAATTGGAAACAGACAAATATAGTGCTTTTTCAAGGTTATAAAGAACTATACTGGTAAATTATAATTGATATATTAGATACATAACAATAATCTTGTTCGAGGTGAAGCGACACTCCAGAACGTAATAGAACTATTAAGCCTTGTTGTTTAGTGTAAAACTGTTTCCGAAATCCAGCAAGACAAAAACTACTAGCAATAAACAGGTGCACATCTTGCTTTACTGATTCCTTAATTAGTTCATGTATAATGAACACCAGGTATTCGGTTTACATAAGTCAGGGTTGGTAACTGACCTCATAATGAATAATTTTTTACGAATGACTGATAACTGGTGATGGGCAAATTAGAATTTTTTGAATACACTGCGCAGATTGCAGAATTATGCAAGCCAAGCAGAGTTATACTAGCTGACCAGAATTATGCTAGCTAGCCTGAATTTTAAAAATCACACTGTGCAGTCTCTCAAAAATTCTGCGCAGTGGCCCATCCCTACTGATAACCGGATGACTCGGATCATTTACAAATGACCTGAGTCATTTGAGTCGTTTAGTAACTTATATAACCAATAAATCCAAATAAATTGTAGAAAAATAATTAATTGATATTATCTTATTTATTGCATAACAGGAATATTAAGCATTTTAACGCTTTAAGATCTTGTTTTAAATTGAGCTGAAAATAGGCATCAATTTATCTGATTGGATCGCAATTCATAAGTCATTATTTTTGCATTCGTAGCAGTTCATTAAATGTTAATGCCTGTTTTCTGAATCTTTAATATTTTGCACCTTTTATTATTAAATTTTTATAGAACTGATTAAATGATTGTCAAATATGAAAAATGAAACGAATTTGTTAAAAGATTTGGATTATAATTGTTCCTAGTTTTTGCGCAACAATTTTGCACAACTACTTTATCAAATATAATAAAGTTGTAAGCATAATGGTAGTGACACTGTAAAAAAATTCTTAATTTTATCGAATAAGATTTACTGCTTTTAATTAGCTGAAGGTGTCTAGGCAGATACTGTATCAAATGACCTTGATAGTTCATTTTGATCCGTGGCCGGTCACTAATCATTTTATTCATTTGGTAATCCCAAGTCCAGAAGTCATTTACCATCCCTGGTATGAGTTGATTAGAAAATTCTATAATGTACAATACTCCCAATAAAACTCGGAATTTGAGGCCGATAACTTGATTGGCGTTATCACAAGATTATAAACATAACGATCATTTCTATATTTTTTTGTTAACATTAACAAAAAATGTTTGTTTATATTTATAATAAGTCATATGACACCCGTAACTCCATTGCTTAGTACCTAAAAAGTACATGCATTGATAATGAAGTATTTAACATAAGTTGGTAAACTATTCGATTTCTCAACTCAATTACTTTTGGTTTTTTTTTTTTAAAAAAAAAAAAGAGAGAGAGAAAGAAAATGGATGAAATTGGAAATTGGTTTAATAAGTTACCATTTTGCACAAAATTTTTGGTTTCAAATGTTGTTATAATAACTGTGGCATTGACTATGTGGCCACACAATCATATCATTAATGAATTAGAGAAATTTCAGGTGTGTTCTCATGTAAAGACATCTTAATTTTATTTATTAACTAAATAAGACTACGTTCTTTAAATACTTCATTAGTTATGGAGACATTACTCGTCATTTTTCCTTTTTCCGTTTGGCATTAGTGGGGCAATTGAGTTATATCTCTTGTATTATTTTTCTAAAGATTTAGAAACTACCAAATTTTCAAGAGCAACAGCAGATTATGTTTATTATCTTTTATTTATAATTTCGATGATAACTGTATCCTTTGATATTATGGTGATAGTGAATTTATAGAATATCTTCACTTAATTTATTTATTCAAAAAGAAATAATTATTCTTAATAATTGTTTCCAAAAATGTTATCATAGATACAAAGTTATATGTGGCCTCTATTACTGTTTCCAAGTTTTATGATAGCGATCATATACACATGGTCTTTGCATCGCAGAAATACTACTATAAATCTTATAAATTTTTATAATGTTATAAGTTTTAAAGTATGGATTTTAAAGAATATAATTAAAGTCTTTATTAAATGTTGATTTAATTATTAACAAAAAAATTTTATTTATTTGTTATAATAGGCGAAATATTTACCATTTATATTTTTATTATTAGATGTGTTATATGTTCTATATATTCCATATGACGTAGTAGCAGGAATAATTGCAGGTCATTTATATTTTTACTTAAAAGAAAGATATCCTGCGTCAAGTGGCATACAATTATTAAATACTCCAAGATGGTTATATGAAATGTTTCCAAATTCATATCGTTCATCAAATACGTCAAAACCAACGATTAATATTGATCTTAGAGTTACACATGTAATATGGGATATCGTTGCTTTACTGAGTCTGCTTGGTATATTTAAAACTAGGGAAACTATGAGGCCTATATATAGGAACGAACGATGCAGGAATCTTTGAATTTATCAATTATCATATTAAATTATTTATTCATATATTTGATTAGTTTAGCATAACTTTATTATAAATAAAAAATTATTATTATTTATTAAATAATCCATCAAATGGTAATCCCTTTAAAAACCATATAGTTACTTGGTTATTATTTATTTTAAATTTTAACGTACTCAAGTCACATTCTCATTAAAGTGAAATTAAACGTGCAATTCCCTTTCAATAAGTTCTTTTTTAGACCTCATTCATAAAAATAAATTTTTTTTTATTTCTGTATTTTTTTTTTAAAAAAAAAGTGTACATTTGTTTCCACGTTACTGTGTTTCATATGTATACGTGATAATTAAATGTAATATCTATACTCCTTTATTTGTCAACCCGCAGATCTATTCATCCCACACATTGATAACTATCGTGTCGCATATTTAATCCAATTTATTGATTTTCTTGATATTTAATACGTAACCATTTTTTAAAAAAAGATACCAAATATAATATTAATAATTTAACTATACAAGATCTAGAATATTTTAATGCTATTGCTAAAAAATACGATTTTTGTAAAGCAGTAAGTTGACAAAAATAAAACGTCACAATGTCAAAATAATAATTGGGGGGGTGTCAGTAGAAACCAGGCAAATCAAAATTTTTCAAAAATGAGTTTTTTTGCTTAACTAATATGAAATTTTGCAAGGATTATTTTTTGCTTAATAATGAACCCCTTATACCAGGAACGGAGTACGAAGTACGTAGTGTATGGTTTACGTACGCAAAATCTTGGAATTGATTGGTCCGCGTGACTTATTCATCATTCAATATTTTTTAAAAAACCTTAAATGAGCGCATACATCTGTAAAATCGAAGATGCTATAACAAAAGATAGTGAAAATAAGTTTTTTAGGCGCAAAAATTAGTGTCCCAATATAAATTTAAAGCCTCAATGCTAAATATTTGGTAATTTTCATTTTTTTTCATCGAATTTTTTATCGGGCTAATAAAATGATAATCACTGATCGTCAAAGACTTAATCGAAAGAACTTGTCGATCATTTCTAAATACAGATATGTTTCGTAGATTTTGCAGAGCCCCAGAATTTTGGGACAGATTCATCGGAACTGAGTGATGCTAGCTAATCAACTATATAGCAGTCAGACATTTAATTCATTAATATTGTCAGAGGTAGAGATGGGACACTGCGCAGGCATTTTTTGAGGCTGCGCAGTGCAATTTTCATAATTCTGGTCAGCTTTATAATCCAGGTTTAAATTACCAATCGAAAGAAAAACGGATCTGCTTCACCTGATTAATAGAATCCATCGTTCATAATTCTGGTCAAACGTGCAGATCATTTGATCACATTTAAAGTTGTTTTGTTCTAGATCTGGCCAAATGATCTGCAAATTTGACCAGAATTATCAATTCAACGATATGCAGAGAAAAAGTGAAAAAAAACGCAAAACAACAAAAGCTGCCGTTTAAAACTAACCTTGGAGCATTAATTAAAAATGATGAGAGCCCAACTTTACACATATTAAGTAGATGGTTTATATATAGAAACGCGAAACCTAATGAGTAAACGGATCTAGGGACTGAGGTTGTGCAGACTGCGCAGTAGATCCAAAAAAACCTCGATTTTCCCATCTCTAGTCAGAGGTAAAACCGACACCCCATAGAACCTGCGAAATAGTGTCATTGTGGCATACTTACCTAATTGGAGGTGCCCATGACGATCCATCTGAAACATGTGTGCCCAGCCCCAAGGAAGCCATATGACAGTACACAAGCCTCCATGCGGGACCCCACCACCCCTCCAAATAAAGAAAGGTCGACCTAGACCAACCTGTTCGCGCTGGGAATGGATGTTGACTCCACCTACCCTACTTGGGTTAGGTGTGAGGCGATGTCAAGGGAGGTGCGATTGAAGACAATATGATGAGTTCTGGCCCCGGGATAGTGAAACTGAAACATTTCTCATCAGTTCTATAAAAGCCGTGAAAAATGTTAAAGTAACGAAAGGCTGTGTGGAAGGGTAAAGGTTAGAACAAAAATGGTTGGAAAGCGTTGGGAATAATGAGAAGAGTCGTGGTCTTGTGCGGCGGTCAATCTATTATAAAAGGGGTGGAATTTCCCCTAAAAAAAAATTGTAATACTTATCTTGTAACGCTCCTCATCGATCTCCTCGACCTTATGCCAAATCGAAAAACTGCCTCTATATCTTTGAGGAACATTACGCGGCATAATCGTTTTTCAAGCGACAATCCGTCGCATTTGCCCCATCTCTGAACTCGA